CGTGAACAACTGTAGCCGGAACATTCCATAATCGGGCGTATCCTCTTCATTGAAACCCGTAATTTTGCAGAGACCAACAGGGATTTTGTTATTATTTTCGGATGCAACTGAAATAAAATGAAACATAGACCACAAAAGCAAATTTCTTTTTAAAAAAAATCCTTTAAACTGATAAAGCAAACGGTAAGTTGAGCTCAAAAGTTTTTGCAACAAACTTTCTGCGTCAGCTGTTTTGACAAATGAAAAAAATAATGTGAAGAAAGTTGTAATATTCAATCCATATGCATAAGTTTCAATGATATCCAGCAATTGCGACCATAAGATCGTAAAACGCTCGTACAGATTTGCAGTGATTATTCGTAGAGGAATCTACAACACAGAATTAAGTGACATAATGAGACAGAAAATTCTGAAAATACCGCACAGAAATATTATGAAAAAATTGTCAAAAGAAGGGCTCCCCTCGCACCCCACCCTCCCCCAAGCTCAAAAATCATGAGAGAAAAGCACAAAAGAAAATCAAAACACACTTATGGAATGGACGATCAAACGGCCCATGCTATAATAAGTAAACAAGGCACGTAACAAAAGCGCGTTAAAAACGAAATCGCACATTTTCAAAAATGAGAAAAGCAGATAATGAATTTTTTACCGTCTCTAGGACAGCATCGCAATCACGTGGCATGTGCTTTATATGGCTACCATAACTAAGCCGACGCAAAAGCATCAAACGTGTTCGGTAATGCACCAGTGTTAGTGGTGTTTTTTCAGCTTTCAATAAAATGCTAAAAGCATTTTCCACTTTTTCCTGAAACAAACTTTACTCCAATTACAGTGATAATGCAGGCGTGAACACCGATTCTAAAAAGAGTGTTGTAAAAATTCATTTAGAAAAAAAACAACTGGCCAGCGCACCGACTGCCGATGCAAAGGTGCGTTTTTTGCATAGTCCCCTGCAGGTTTTTGTCGCTAACGGCACTATTTTTCCGGCAGATGCTGCTAGCTAAAAGAATTGGGATTGGACACCAGGACTGTCAGGAAACGCACCCTTAAATTTCAGCCTTCTAGCTCTTCAGGTCCCCGAGTTAGCAGCTTATTCGTAAAAAAACTTTGATAAGCCCGTATGTGGGAATCACATCGGTGAGAGTGCCCACTGGTGGGATGGAGGCCGGTATGTGCATGTAGATTAATCTCCCAAGGTATCAGCCTAGTAGCTTTATGTAGGTTTCGAAATGAAAAATCGACACGGATGCACATACAGACACACACACACACACAGACAACCCTGTGACAACATACGTTTCTGCACTGCATAGATGCAAAAAACGCATAAAAATTATACTGAAAAGTCCTCTAGACAGTAACACGACCTGGAAGCAAAAAAGTCCGAAACAAGGGAATGTATAACAAAGGCCAAAGCATTCAGAAACTACTGAAGCTTTGCAGATGCTTCTGCTGGAGAACAGCAAGCTAATAAAGCCTTTATGGAACGATACGAACGTCCAGACTGACAGCAAACTGCTGAAGTTCTAAGCAGAACCGGTTAAAGCCGCAGCAGGAAGAGTAATCAGCAATACACAAAAACAGTCTGTGAATATAGCTGATCAAAGTGCTCCTAAAAATTCCCAAACAGAATAAGCTACTTTAAATTTGAAATTAGCTGCAAAATCTTCTCATTTAATAACCAAGAACACCCTCGCTGAGAAGTATGGGTGTTTTACATTAGTGATGGTACTGGGATTCTCCCACACGCTGGGAGAAGCCATGCCAGACCTTTCGGTCCTTCAGTTACTGCCCACGGCTTTTTTGTTGGGTCTCCTGGGATCGCCTGAGTGACCGTTAACATCTTCGCGCGTATTACCTATTGATACGCAAAGACCAGCAGTTGTTGCCAAGGCTATCAATATGCCATGCACATAGGAATTTATTGTCTCACAGGCTCACAGTGATTTTTTGTAAGCAGCGGTTGACAGCCCAACTTTTTATACGACCACGAAAAGACACATCAAGCATTTTTGGCTTCATCGCTCTTTCCGCTATAGTCAGTGGTCGCATTTCACTATTCGCCAAGGCACATCGCATCCGCACATTACTGACTACAGCACAGTAGTACTGATGAGTTGGGTACGGATCCTTCGGTTCGACAGTTTGCAAACAGCGATGATGCTGTGAAATTTACGCCAACCGCAGCTCTTCTACACGCAATCTCCG